GAGGGGGACGGGACATATTTTGCCTCGAGTTACCAAAAAATTGCAAAACCAGATACTTGTGTCATTTGCCAAAGATTACGTTTATAAGAGGCTAAAGAGCTTTAGGACACCACCATGAAAATATTCCAGCAACAGTTTCTTAGGAGTCAAAGAGCAGCTAGAAGTCTCTTCAAGCACTATTTGTTGGTTGTTTTGGTTGCTTTGGGGCTTGTTTTGTTTTGTTTTTCTCTCCAGACCTTTCTCTTTCCCTGTATTTTACATCCCGATTCTTTAGTTCAATCTGATCACTCCGGTAAAGGCACTGTGTTGGCCCAGAATGTTTTAACAGTAAATACAGAATAAAATAAAATGATGTATTTAAACCTGGAGACCAGTACAAGGTTTTTAACTTGTCCGTTTCCCCCCTGCATTTTATTGCCTGCATAACTCTGTGGATAATACTTAGGGGATATTTTAATTTTCGGTTTGATTCCTGAATTAGGGAGACCTTTTGTTACACAGGGACACGTATTACCTAGGCAGGTTTGACGGCTCTCTTATGCACGCTGGCATATAAAATAATAGCGACATTTAGGATCTAAAAAAACGCACGTCCTAACGTTAAAGTTGGCAGCAGTGTAAAAATACTCTGTTCTGAAGAACGCTGGCAGCGGCAGCTGAACACACCAAATCTAGTGGATGCTCTACACTCTCGAGATAGGCTTTCTGTGGATGGTATTCTACAGCTACAGGAATAAATAAATAAAATCTTCGGCTTTTAATTAAGGCGATTTGATTCAGACCTCTCCACCCAGCGTAGCCGCCGTGGGAAATGTATACTCCAATGTTTACTCGGATCTCTTTCTGTCACTATTCTATCTTGTCTTACGCTTACGACATCAGCAAAGCTTTCTGGCCCCAATAGCCATTGTTTCCCATTTCCACCTCCTCCGTCCAACCTCTGCCCGTCCGAGAAACTTCCTAAAGTTCAAGAGGAGGGGAACTCTTTGCACCTAGGCGATTAAAGTCATTGTTTCAACGCTACCTCTCCCCTAGCTGCTCAGGCTTCTCAAAGGTATACAGTGCCCCGCTGGCTGTTCTTTATGGTACAGTGCAGCTTCTCAAAAGATCATCGGATGGAGAAATTTAGCTCTTCTTGAAACATTTAAGCAACTGAGCAATTAGTTCTGAATGGGGGT